AATTTTGATGCTGTAGACGAATGCGTGCGTGAATTAGTTTATTTAAACGTGCTGAAATATACGCGGCATACATTTTTACTATCTACAACAATGAAAAAATTGAAAGAGAAAGATTTTAGGCCGGTATACATAGTCCGTTCTTATATTTAAGATCATCTCAAGTACGGTCTTAAGATGCTATGCGGCCATTTCATTGGTTGAATAGGATTTTAAGACGACCCAAGACCATACTTAAAACGATCTTGAATATAAAAATAGATTATGAATACCGGCCTTAGAGATTGTACCAAAAATAGATTTCAAAAATTCTTTACAACATCAGCATTAAAATTGTTATATTATTTGCAATGTTGTTGTAATTATTATTTACATTTATCATACACTTTACGCTATTGGATTATTTGAAATATTCACGAGAATATGTAATATTGATGAGTCACTGCATTATCCAAGCACATGTCAACCAGAATTGGTCAACAGGAATATACATATGAAAATATACTATGTTATGACATAAATTATGTTACTAAATCTGATCATGTTATAAAAAAATCTGATTTTAATAATATATCGTATAATAATATTGCATAATAAAGAAATCATATATATCATAATTATTTAATCACATGTTCAATAGATTTTACATTTTTTGAAAATTTTATTCTCGATATTTTTCAATAGGTCATTCGTTATTATAATATATGTATTATCGAATTAAGTACATTTATAAATTAAGATATATAATTCACTTATTATCCTTTGTATTTTTCTATGTCACGCCTGACTTTTACTAAGAATACAGTACGCGTAAACTTCAGAATTATTCGATCCTATGTGTACGTCCTGCGTTGACGATCCATGATGAATCATGCAACGGAAATTAATGGCTTCGATTGAACCTCTCTGATTGCAATTTCGAAATTGGGGCACTCGAAATCGGACCAAGCATTGGCATGAATTCGAGTTTACCATCTCGAAGCGAAGGGTAGTCAGGAGCACTATAACTTGTTTATCCTTGATATGCTTAATATGCTTCAGTGCTATTAATCGTACATTAATGACGTATGATTCTAACGCGATTATTTGATGTTTATTAATAGAGCCTTAAAGTTTAACTAATTTTGTATTTATTCGCGCATTTCGAGATTTGTCTAAAAACAGTTTTTTTTTTTTTTTTGAAAGGAAGATTAATGCAAAAATGAAAATAAGGGGAATAATGTCCGTCTAAATTGTCAAACATAATTATCATTAAACTATTTGTTAATATCATTAAGATTTAGAATTTTGTAATACAATACACACAATTGCTAATGACATACCGTGAACAATGAGTGGATTGCGCACGATTGACGTTTGACAATGAACACTTGGTATCTTCCCAATTTAGTATTCAGCAACGACGAATGTAATTATTGACATTGTAATCGACTTGTTAATGAGACCGATTGTTTTGCGAAGTTACAAGCTTATTCGCGATACTCTCACAGTCTAATTGTTTAATTCTTTACCAAGTATTTGCAAGTTTCTTATTTGACACTCGGTTAATTCCTTGAGTGAAAGTAAAAGTGCTGATTGTTGTTATATAGGAAAGCAAAATTATATTTTTAATATAAATTTCAAAAATGACATCTAATATTTTTTATTGTTAATGTATTCAATATTTCATATTTAGTATTAAACATAGCTAGTTAATTTTAAACCTCATTTTTATTGCATGGTAATTTTCATACTGAAATTCCATGCAATATTCGATTCCATGCGAAAAAGCGATAATTTTAAGTTGAAATATTTTTTGCGATTTATACGCGAAATTCGGTCAGAAACATTCCGTAATCAAGATTTTGGAGTGTATGGTAAAGATCATCGCTAATGAAGCCATTCAATATCGGCTCAATTCTCCGATTCGATTAATCTACTAATTTAAACGCAATCCTTATCAGACACAATCTGCGACAGTGCATGAGCCGCGGATCGATAGTAATTACGGCCGTCTATACGACAGAACGCAATTGAAGTATCATCCGAGACAACGTAGTCGGAAATAAATCCACCATCACGAAGTACTCTCGACCTCCTTCCACTCTTACTCAGCAATAATCTTCACCGCGGCAGGCAACAGGCCGTTGCACATGCGTCGTAGCTTGCCGCAACTTAAGGATGCACTGTTATGCATGTTACGGTTTTTTTCTAGGAAATAACGGGAACGCGAGTACGCGAACGACTATAAAGAAATAATGTGTATTTTCATGTGCTAATCGTTCGAATTACAATTGCGTTCAAATAGAATGAAAATTACGCGCACGGTGCTTAACTCTCTGTGTGTAAAAATTCTAAAAATCGATAATTTTTCGGAATATATTGTGCATTTTGATCAATTAGAATACACGAATTAAAACGATCTCTGATTCATAATTATCTTAATCACAGAATTTCGCTTATTTTCTCGATTTATCTTTATTAAGATCCGTTATCGGTGTCGATTCAATTAAACGAAATCCAGAGTGAGTTCTTTTTATCATTTTTCTTTTCAATATACGATATTATATGTCACAATTTTTCTATTAATCAAAAAACTTAAAGAGCAGTTAATATATTTTTTATTTAAAAGATTTCCATTATAATTAATTCAATCCGTATGTTTGACGTAGGAGTAAAACATTTAAATACGAAACGATGATTTTCAATCTAATTATTATTTGTGTATTGTACGCGCGTAGTTTAGAATTTTTTCGCAGTTTAAAATAAGTTCAGAATTTAAGTAGTTTCAAAGTTCATAAACGTCGTAAAATCTCGTAAACATAATTTAAAAGTCTACGGTATAAGAGTTTGTTGCTAGCGCAAAACTACTAGTGGCGTGGGCGAATGTTCCATCATAAATGCATGATGAAACAAGCCGTATGGACGCATACAGCGACCATGCTGGCTCAACGTAGTTAATCGAAACGATTAAAACCGGTCTCGTATTGCCAAGGGTCATCCTTGTGTTCATAGACGTTATAAGAGAATATATGCAAGAGGGTGCACTGACAATCTCTTCAAATTTCAAACAGAGAAAAAAGTTAATTAAAACTCAATGCTTCATTAATCAAATTTTCACAAAATGAGTTATCATTAATACTGTATGTGAATTTTATAAAATGCTACTTACAATAAACGTAATAAAAAAGGAAAATAAACAACCTATAACTTTCCATTTTGATATTATTGCATATCGTAAATCCGCGATTATTTATTTAAAAAAAAAAAGTTTTAATAAATTTTAAAAGAATTGTAAAGAGAGAGAAAGAGAGAAAGAGAAGCCATCTGAGAGAAAAGACGCAATTAAAAAATATTATACTCGAGCAATTAAGAGCCAAGCGCGGATGTTAGTGCAAGGAAAATTATATTTCCTCGTAACTTACGCACTACCATTTGCGTTTGGCTCTTAATTGCTCGGACATAATATTTTTTAATTGCATCTTTTCTTCTTTTCTCTCAAGTTGCTTTATTCTTTCTCTCATTTTCTCTCTCTTTACAATTCTTTCAAAATTTATTAGAATGTAAATTTTCTTTCTTTAAGTGACTGTACACAGGGTACAAACTTTACCCTGGAAGATATTTAAAATAAATTTAAAACTCGAGATTATTTAAGCACTTGGTATCGCACTAACAAGTAAAATTTATCCTATTTGTGTCTTGTACATAGAACTACTTATAAAACTAGTTTCAAGAAAAATAAATAATTTTCTTCGAAACTTATGCACCGCGTTTGGCTCTTAATTGCCCGAGTAATTTAAGTTACTTTTTTTTTTTTCACAAGAAAACCATTTTAATTTCTCTTGATGTTAAAAAATATTATATTATTAAAATATCATTCAATATTTGATGAAAATATAAGATATAAATATTAATAATGTTTTCTCTCTCAAATATGTAAAATAATCATAATAAAAGTTTAAACTATAATTTATATAAAAAAAACTATATTGCACTTCCATCCTTTTTAATTTTCAAAAGAGAAAAAAAATGTTTAAGTAAAGAATAAATGCCAATTAAAATTTTATCAAACACTTTACTATTAATATCAAATATAAAATGCATTTTATATTTCAGATAAGAATTTATAATAATTTTGATAGTAACTTTATATAGAAAAAAATTATCTATATTTACTCGAAAAAGAATATATTTTGTATGTCTATGTGATGGCTATTATCATGTCAATTAATCGTTGAGGGTGATAATGTGCACGTTACAGCGCGAGTAGGAAATATCGTATCGACCAAAGATGCAATCGGCAAAGATATGCGCTCCCAGCTTGCAAAATGCGGAAGACGATGCCGAGATGATACACCACCTCGCAAAGCTGCGATTAGCGAGCAGCGACTTATGCTTGCCGATTTTCTTATCGCCATCCGATCGTCGAACGCCTCTTTTACCTTGCCGGTCTATTACAGCTTCGGAGATGTGAAATACTAGGAAAGTCGACGAGCGCATCGCTTTCGATACGATTTGACGGTAGGCGGGCACGAAAGCATTGCCGATCCGATACGCTAATATTCGACGTTACGATATTGGAATCAGAAATTGTATGTACGTGAGATATCTTGTGGTTACTGATCGATAAATAAGCATTTACGCGATTGTAAAAATAAATGTGTAATTCTCCAATGCCAAGAATCCAGATGCAAACCCACCAATATAAAAAAGGCAACAAAAGCAAAAAGAAAATTTTAATTATAAGAATGTAATTATAGGAAGAGACATAATTTTTGTAAGGATATATAGAGAGATATAATTATCGTAAAACACATCTAACTCCACATTCGTGTAAAATGCCTTTCTTTTATAATTATAATTATAGTTTATTTTTTATAAATTAAAATATTATAATTAATCTTTTATCAAATATGTTATCCTATTGCAATCTTTAGGTTTTCATTTTCCTCGCGGAATCTCAGACAAGGTAGATTTGCTTTCAGTGTGGTTTGACAGAAGACAAGAAATACAGGACCACCGGTCGTTGGTATCGCTTCTACCGACAATCCGCCGGTGTTCATAAATCAGTGCTGAGAATATGTGAGGGATAATAATGAGGGACGAAGACGATGATGAAGAGCCTAGGTGGAAGCGCCTAGATGTTACCATCGGGACGACTGATACAGCAGGTGATCGGGAATTTACGGCGTGCGATAGTATCGAAATGGAAAGTTATAGACCGCTTTTAGAATTGCGAAAGGTTTATGGTCTAGCTAAAGAGTGTCTACCCGGTATGGCTGATAATCAGCAAAATTGAGTGACAGTTAGAAAATTGGACGTCATTTACGACGTGGTAGTCGTAGTTATTATTAGGCAAGATGCTTGATTATTTTCAAGAAGACAATAAATATACAATAAATATTCAAGTATAGAAAATTTGTTAGTAAACACGCTAGTATTTATGCGCAGAGTTCATATTGTTGTCATTTGTACGACGAGATTCGAATGAAAAGGTAGTGTTGTTTCGTATACTGTCGTAGTAATTTTCGAGACACGATCGTGAGAAGATCGAGAGAGGTCAAATGGGATTATTCTGTACATATCGTGCGTGTGATTAACGTCGAATATTAAGCGGATCGTAGAGTTGTGTTAGCGTTGTTGTTGGTTGTAATATAATAAAGTGCGCGTCGCGTGCGATTGCGGGAGTGTTATGTCGGAAGTGTCGTGCAAAGTGTCGCGCGATCATCGATTGGTGCGCGGGCGATCGTTATTAATAGCGTTTCCGTAATTATTGTGTGAGTGTCATGAAGCAACAGCATGAACCAGAAAGGAGGAGGAGGAGTACGAGCATATCCGGGGAGACGACGTTGCGGTGGGGTAAATACAATTTATAATTAATTAATCTTTTTATTAATTAAATTAATGTCTTGTTTAACTTTGCAATGGACTAATTTTTATATTATTATATAATTTAACGCATATAAATAAAATAGCAAATTTTAATTTTCTCTTCAAAAAACCTTTAAAACTTGAACAATATAAAATAATAATATACAGAGATGACATTTATAATAATTATGATATTGCAGTGATTGCGTGATTAAAGTACTTTAAAGAATACCAAGTTCTAACTAGAATGTTCTCTTTCTCTTATTTATGTGTCAGAATGAAAGTAATAATGTAAAAAGTTAGATTAGAAAAAAGTACTAAGATGAAATAATGATGTCATTAACGATAATTCATCAAATACATCTATCCCTTTATCACATTTGATTGTGACCGTGAAATAATGACGATGAGAAAGATTACTTCTATCGCGAGGAATAACGATCATCGATTTTTCCATCTACTACATGCACGATGGCTTCTCCGTCTTTACTGACGACTAGAATACACGGATTTTATACTTTTTACGCAAAATACATGACATTATTTTATTTTCGACATTATTACCGGATTTATTCCTCTTACGATAATTTTAACTGTGAAATTTATCAGAGATTAATTTTTTATACGAAAATATCGATTAATAATGATTCAATTCAAAAGTAGCGTTCAAATCGCGACTAAATTAACTGGATAAATCCTTCAACAAGACCATTGTATCCTGCACCGCGTGCGTGAATGTTCATATGATCCAGCGTCGATACCGCATTGTTTTGGTGCCGCACGTCATTAAGCCCCCCCCCCCCCC